TTTATGGGACCTGAGTGTACAGTAAGTCCTCACATTGTAAAAGTTCTTGCACAAGTCCTGATGTGTTGAAAACTTGTAGGGATGACTTTATGGGGACCTGAGTGTACAGTAAGTCCTCACAATGTAAAAGTTCTTGCACAAGCCCTGATGTGTTGAAAACTTGTAGGGATGACTTTATGGGGACCTGAGTGTACAGTAAGTCCTCACAATGTAAAAGTTCTTGCACAAGTCCTGATGTGTTGAAAACTGTAGGGATGACTTTATGGGGACCTGAGTGTACAGTAAGTCCTCACAATGTAAAAGTTCTTGCACAAGTCCTGATGTGTTGAAAACTTGTAGGGATGACTTTATGGGTGAGTGAAAATATAAGCCGCTATATTTAACAAACTGTTGTGAAGAGGCAATTTATCTATTCTTCACCAAACTTTTCTTACAATTTGCAATGCAATTCTACTCCTGCGGCATCTAATGTTGTCAAATACGAACATTTATTACGACCTGCTAACTTTTTTAAAATTTCGAACACTCGCTACAATCTAACAACCCCTAAAATTATATTTGCACTAAGAGTTGCAAGAAAATTGCATAGTGTAACAGTGACAGAGTAGATTTTGTTAAATGTTAACAAAAATTGTAATAAACTTACCACATGCATCATTTAAAAACTCTCAGTCAAAGTTTGCTTAATAGTGATCTTTTAAATGGGTTAATGTAACAAAGGTCAAAAGGATTTCTCACATGTTCCATCCTAAAAATATATATTGCAGCGAAAAAGATGTTAGGAGTAAAATAGATATTATTCCATCTTAAATAGGAAATATATTGCCTATGCTGTGTTTATAAAGTGTCACTATAAAAAGATATAAATAACTAAGAGTTAAAGACACAGACAGGAAAAATAACTTACCAAAATGATTTCCTGTAAAAGTATACGAATGTGCTGTGAAACAGTCAGTCCAGGAAACAGAGAATTGTGTTAAATGATTATATTATCCAGAAGAAAAATAAATATGTCCATGTCAGAAACTTGCATGGCCACGTACTTGGCTTGTCATATAGCCAAAGTAAGAATATGCTTGCATTTTGTATTTAAAAGTCTTTTAAAGCACAGTAGCAGCAATGAGGGAGGGACTCTATCGCACTTAAAACTTTATCATGTTTTTTAAAACAGAATCTCTCAAGAATTTTGATAGGCAGACTATTAACAAGTGCCTAAGGTGCGTAGGTGCGAGATTACACCCTTTCAAGATATAAGGGTTCAGAGTTATATAACCTAAGGATCCAAAGATCCAAAGTTTCAGTGCCCTCCCAATGCATTAATGAGCCAACATCACGTCTGTCGCAAAATAATTTTAACTTCTGCTCATCCAACTCGTAGTATACAGTACTCAAAGAACTTAAATCATGTTCCCTGCAATATCCAATTGCATTATTGAATTCTACAGTATTTTAAGTTGCTCATGCGTTGCTTATTGCATATTTTTTGTTTGCCTTCTTTTGTATTTTTTTGTGTCTTAAAGGTCTATATTGCACAGTGCCCCATGTGGTGCATTGGATTTAAACGAAAGAATAAAAATCGTCAAAAAAAGAGAATACATTTCTAGTAAAACGGTGCATGGAAGAACACGAAGAAACGTTCAAAAGATGCCAGCAATTCGCTTTAGAAACATGCATGGAGTTACAATAAAGTTACAGACTAACAAAATTGGTCGCAAACGGGGACGACTAAGCAATGGACAATTTATGCACTGAACCGACCATCATTTGATACAGAACAAACAATCAAGGGGTGACAGAATTTGAACACTAATTAATATCCTAGGAATCCAAAGCATAAGAGTAAAATAGATATTATTTCATCCTAATAAGCAAATATATTGCCTATGCTGTGTTTATAAAGTGTCATTATAAAAAGATATAAATAACTAAGAGTTAAAAACACAGACAGGAAAAATAACTTACCAAAATCATCTCCTGTAAAAGTATATGAATGTGCTGTGAAACAGTCAGTCTAAGAAACAGATAATTGTGTTCAGTGATTATATTATCCATAGGAAAAAAAAATATGTCCATGTCAGAAACTTGCATGGCCACGTACTTTGCTTGTCATATAGCCAAAGTAAGAATATGCTTGCATTTTGTATTTAAAAGTCATTTAAAGCATAATAGCAGCAATGAGTGAGGGACTCTGTTGCACTTAAAACTTTACTGTGTCTTCTAAAAGATAAACTCTCAAGAATTTTGATAGGCAGACTATTTACAGGTGCATTAGGTGCGTAGGTGCGAGATTACACCCTTTCAAGATATAAGGGTTCAGAGTTATATAACCTAAGGATCCAAAGATCCAAAGTTTCAGTGCCCTCCCAATGCATTAATGAGCCAACATCACGTCTGTCGCAAAATAATTTTAACTTCTGCTCATGCAACTCGTAGTATATAGTACTCAAAGAACTTAAATCATGTTCCCTGCAATATTCAATTGCATTATTGAATTCTATTCTAAGTTGCTCATGCATTGCTCATTGCATATTTTTTTTTGTCTTCTTTTGTATTTTTTCGTGTCTAAAGGTCTATTGCACAGTGCCCCATGTGGTGCATTGGATTTAAACGAAAAAATGAAAATCGTCAAATAAAGGGTTACATTTCTAATAATATGGTGCATGGAAGAACAGGAAGAAATGTTCAAAAGATGCCAGCAATTTGCTTTAGAAACATGCATGGAGTTACAATAAAGTTACAGAATTACAAAATTGGTCGCAAACGGGCACGACTCAGCAATAGACGATTTATGCACTGAACCGACCATTATTTGATTCAGAACAAACAATCAAGGGGTGACAGAATTTGAACACTAATTAATATCCTAGGAATCCAAAGCATAAGAGTAAAATAGATATTATTTCATTCTAAATAGCAAATATATTGCCTATGCTGTGTTTATAAAGTGTCACAATAAAAAGATATAAATAACTAAGAGTTAAAAACACAGACAGGAAAAATAACTTACCAAAATGATTTGTTGTAGAAGTATGCAAATGTGCTGTGAAACAGTCAGTCTAAGAAACAGAGAATTGTGTTAAATGATTATATTATCCAGAGGAAAAATAAATATGTCCATGTCAGAAACTTGCATGGCCACGTACTTGGCTTGTCATATAGCCAAAGTAAGAATATGCTTGCATTTTGTATTTAAAAGTCATTTAAAGCACGGTAGCAGCAATGAGGGAGGGACTCTGTCGCACCTAAAACTTTGCCGTGTCTTTTAAAACAGAATCTCTCAAGAATTTTGATAGGCAGACTATTTCTAGGGGAAATAAGTGTATATATTTTAAATCAGCAGCATATATAAACACATTTTATGACTATATATTGCACCAAATCAAAAATATTTGCTATGGATGCTTGCCAGTACTAATTCATTTAATATTATAAACTTGCTATTCCATATTATAAAATGGCAAGGGGTGCTTCATGCATGAATTTCTAGTATAACTACATCAACAACTTAATTAGTATTATGCAAAGATAAAATCAACCAGAAGTGCTGGAACCATGCGGGCAGCTGCCCCCCCCCTGCCCTTTGTTCATGGGGGCAGCTTGCCTTTTATATATTCATAGACATTGCATGTATATCTTTTCAGTCTTACTATACATAATCCAAGTTATGATCGCTGAAGTGGTTGCGAAACAAGTGTAAACAGGCCTTAAAGTGCCCTCTTTTGAGTTGCTGCCCCCCTGCCCTTGACTGCTTCCAGTGCGTCTGAAGTCAACAAATCCTAGCCTGATAAACATCAACCTCGTTCAGCATACTACAGGTACAAAAGTTCTTCTTGCACACAGAAGAAAATATATAACTTACCAATCTTGCAGTAGAGGTATGAGCATGTTGCATAACAGTCAATCTAGAAAACAGAGAATAATTTAAAACCTATGTACAAAGAAAAATTTTGCTGATTAACAGTAATGCTTTTCAATGACTTTATTATTAAATGTAGGTGCTATTACAATCAGATCTTGGGTCTTTTACAAGAAAGCATATCACAAAGTTTAAGAAATTAATTGAAATTTCCAGATAAGTAAGAGTTTGCTGTTTAACATTTTCTATGCCGTAACCCTTGTTGAATCAGCCATAAATTGTGCACATGGGTATAAACCAACTTAATGAGTTCCAGCTTGCGAATGTTAACATTTGGTTGGAATCCTTTCATCATTATAGTTTTATTTGAAGACTTTACAAATTCCAAAATATTGTTAAAAAGTAGTGATGACAGCAAAAATGGCTAAAATTAAAGCTGGTGGAAATAAAGAATGTAACATCCAAAATAGGGAGACTATACAGAATTCTCTTTGATTTAACAAGCACATATCTTTACAGTGAATTGGCATTACTTCAATCTATCAGTTTAAACCAGCATCTTGTGTTAAAATATTTATATATTTCTCAAGAACACTCTTTACCTCCCTTCTTCCATGTACAGATTATGAGAGCTCAGATACACATATTATTTTAGAAACTAGGGTAATTTATTTAGTAAAATCAGGTAAGTATTTTCCTGGGTTGACCAACCAAGTTACCATCTAGTTCATCTGAATGGACCAACTGAACAGCTGAGCAATCTTTTTGTAACAAGTAAGCATTTTGACCAAATCAAGCTTGAAACTTAAAACTTTGCTAAGAGCTACCTTAAAGTGATCTGATGTTGTACTGAACTTACTGCTGCATGGTGAGATCATGAAGAGGTGGCACATGTTCTTGAATGATATAGAATTCAGGCACATGAAAGGTGATATATGTACATGTAGAATTATTTATACCACTCAAGTATAAAGTAAAGTTGTTTAGACTTTAGAAGTAAAGCTACAATTTCATTGCCATAAAATTGAACCAGCAACACCTAATATTAAAGTCGTTTTCTGTGGTGTAAAAACATTCTCAACGGTATTAACGAGCATTTTTCACATAAATAATATCTTAACTTCATGAATATTCAAAACACAAACATGCAAATACTTATTAAAATGAAGTCGGATTTTATAGTTGTAAATTATTCAACAACCAAGAAATAACAACATACCTGGCAATAAACCAGCAACTAAAGCATAACTTGAGATTTTTGGCTTAAACATATACCAAATAGTACTGGAAATATTTCTTTACATTTCACATTTGCTGAAGAAAAACAACCGCCATTCTATTTGCAAGCCGCGAGGTCGAACCACTGAGCCGAACTCACTGAGCTATAATATAATTCCTGGAGGACCGGCCCGCGACCAAAAAGTGAAGCAAAAAACATGGCGGATTTTGGCGTTTGCTGACGCCAGATTGACGCCACTGGTTCCTATTCGCCATGGTAGTTACCACTGACCAAGGCTCAATTCTGAGCCCGCTACAAATGCACTCCCCCCTGGTTTTTGTTAAAAATAGTATTCAGTTCTCATTATGATATTTTACGAAAAAAACTTAAACGTCAGTCGATATTTTTGAACTGAAAACTTTTTGATCAGATATGTTCGACGTTTTTGTGAAGATATCAAAGTCGTACACGTTACTTCTGTCAAAAACAGGAAACAAATAACAGATAAATAATAAAGCTTCAAGAAATTTGCCGAAACGAAAATGCAGTTGACTGACAGGTAAATATATTATTCATAAATTTCATTTTTTAGATAAAATTTCACCATTTTTTTTCGTTAACAGTCTTTAGATAGATGTCGTTGTTTGTATATTTTAATATTTGACCAAAAGACGGCGGCACGAGAAGTGAAATGTATAGTTTGAAGTTTGAACAACTACTAAAAAGATTACCCTATACTTTGGAAGTAATTTATTTTACATATTACATACATATATTACAGGCATTTTCTTCCAAAGAACGCTAGAAGGTAACATGATGTAAATTCAAATCCAAAGAAACAGAGACTAAGAATCATTGGGAGGATGAAGATGTGCAATTTCAACCAAGGGTAGCCTGCCTATTTGTTTAGCTGGATTTCATTAGCCAGAAGAAATAGTTTTTCTGTACTGAACTATATCAGCATATATCATGTATATTGATGAGCTTATTAGCTTAAACCTATAAGGATGAACTATTAAATTGAAAGCTTCCAGCAGTCAGCACCATGCAGTGGTCAGCACTATAATTGTCTGACTGCACAGGCCATGCTCTTTCCATGGTATAAAACCAATAATTATGGCCCCTGTGCAGGTCATATGCTTTTCTATATTTGCAAATGATAATGCAGAGGCTGCATTAAGGAAGATTAGAACCAGGGATGTTTATAGGCCAAGATAGCCATGGTAATTATTATTGATTATATGCAAAAGGGGCTTACCACTTACCAGCTTCTCCCAGATTAGCCTGCAATGACTGGAAAGGTTCTTTGGAAATGAAATAAACAAAGCCTTACCAATTGTAATATTTATTTTCTTTTAATAAAACATTGTAATTTGTAAAAATAATAAAACAGTTTCTGTATTTAAGAATGTGTGTAGTTCCTGGGTATTAGTATGGTTGTCTCAATTTAATTCTCCAGAATTTTGCATAACATGCCTCCACTTGATCTACCAAACCCTATGTTATCCCTGCAAAAAGAAAGATATGTCAGAGATTAACTGCATGTATAATACACCCTGTAAGTGTTGACAAAATTAGTACAGATAATTTAGTGTCAGCTTCTGAGGCCATGATGATGCCTCAGTTGGAAGTGTGAGTGAATTTAGGCAAGTTATTCTCAGACCTCGCTCCTTCAGATTATATTTTGTTCCTATTGCATCCTTTATATACTTTGATCTAATATATCTTGTATGATTTTTCATGAAAAGATGGGCTATAGACACATTGATGATTGATCTGGTTAGACCTGAGTTTTGGCTCAACTACATGGATTTAAATCAGTGTAAAATATAATGGATAAAAAATATTAATAGAAATATGTTGTAGGTAAACAAATTAAATGTTAGTAAATATATCATTTCTGTTTTCAGATCTTTCATAGCCGTCGAACTACGAAGCTAAATTTTTTACTTGACGTTCAGAGTTCAAACATCAAAATTGCGAAAAACTCTTACCTGAGTGCAAATCGCCAAAAATTTCCTCTTTAATGAGTAAATTGCGGTAGGAACAAGCAGAAAATAGCTGCTTCTTTGTTGAAGTTGAAAAGAACCAGCAAAAAAGGAAAAAAATCCATGTTTTTGTTCAAAAACAAAAAATTTCGTAAAAACCAAATCCTGTTTTTATCGAAAACCAGGAGGGTGCTCGCATTTTTTCATGCTTTGGATCGCGGTTGGTCAGTGGTAACTACCATTGCAAATAAGAACCAGTGGCGTCAATCTGGCGTCAGCAAAGGCCAAAATCCGCCATGTTTTTTGCTTCACTTTTTGTATTTCAAAACATTAGGAGCCGGTCCTCCAGGAATTATATTATAGCTCAGTGGCCGAACTCCGAAGCGCCAGCGGCGCGCCGCGGCCGAAACCTGGAGGCAAGGATGTCACAAAATGTCACTGTCATTACTGCCACTGGATTCTGGATGTCACTCAACCCCACTCAACACTCGACGAGAGTCGCCGTCGATTCAAAAAGGCCTTGAAGACGAGGATGAATTTTTGCAGACTACCCGTTCATTGCCTTGTGGTTGCAGTGGCGTAATGACAGGGTGTCAGGGTGTCAAATGACGGGGGGCCCTGGGGCCGGTTGTTCGAAAGGCGTTTAGCTTAAACGGTGGATAAGTTCAAAATGGAAAGCAAAACTATTTATTCATTGAACAACTGAGCTGAAATATTTCGATGTAAATAGCTTCATTGTCAATGGAAGTACATATTTAATACATAAGATGCATATTTAGTCATTCACAAGATGCATGAGAGTAATTTTAAACTTTGGCTTATCCACCGTTTAAGCTAAACGCCTTTCGAACAACCGGCCCCTGAAGTTTAGGGCCCCCGAAAAAAATTGCCCTGAAAAATTGATAACACATTTATGGAAAATAGAATTACTTTCTACGCACTCGGGTATATAGGCAGCTGTTAACATTATTTCATTATAAATTTTATTATAATTTACTATGCGCAATCTCAGCGTAGTAATATATTTTTTTCTCTGGCTCTTGATTGCCACCATAATGGCAACAAATATATTTGGACTAGGGGGCCGATCATATGAGACGGGCAAGCCCGGTTTTGTCGGACTAGCTCGCTTTTGCCGGGGTAATTCTTATTCGCAATCATAGGAGCCAGCCTGGCCCCAAACAATTATGTAATTCATTGTTTTTTAGCCGCCAATTCAAAGTTAACACGAGAAAGTGAAGTTAGTGCGATCCTAGCGAGCATGGTATGGGTATCGATTACTGACCTGGTATCCTTCGTTACTTGCATCTCTTTTCAGTCCAGGCAAACGTTGATTGGAATATTTTCTATTTTTCTCAAATGATTTTGTTTTTGGAAAATAAATCGTGAACATGCAAAGAAAAATTCCGCTCCGCGAGCAAAATTCCGCGTTGTTGCTGGAAACTGCCATTAGGGAAAACAGGCTTAAGGCTGCATTTTCACTTACAGAGAAATGGTTTGCCAGCGAAATATTTTCAAATTTTCTTTTGAAATTAAACCAGGGAATATTAGGAAATATTCAAATATTTTGCTAGTGAACTATTTCTCTGTAAGTGGAAATCCACCTTAAAGCAGGGCCTCTTTTAAGAAATCGTCAATGGGGGGCATGGACAAAGAGGGGGGTTGCAGTGGGGCCGGGGGACCCAGGCTGGGGGGAGCATTCGCCCCCCCAGTTATATAGTTAAAAGAGGCCCTGCCTTAAAGCCAGTCTTCCCTGCACTAGCGTTATTTTCACGCGAAACGACATTTTACTTTTGTTCCACAGCGCTCAACCGCAACCATCTGGAACAAATTGCTCAAAACAAAAGAATAAAGTCGCTTCGCTGGTGGAAACCAGCTTAATTGAACATATATATTTCATGTGCGAACATATTTCAATGCTATCGCAAAAACTCAATCGCGCGACATTTTGCACTGAATGGAAAAGAAGTTTCACTGTTACTTTCACAAATTTAGTAATCTGATTCTCGATAATTTATCTTCTTCTTAATTGCTCTAAAAGAAATAAACATTAACCTCCATAAATGAAAAATTTGATGAAAATCAGCCGGTTATGAGAGAGTAGTAAAAAATCATAATTTCAAAGTTTCAAGTTTTCGAAAAAATCACCCTAATACAATGCGTCAGGGAAATCTGGACCGGCTTTTACTCACAATATAAAAATTAATTAGGATCTCTCGCTCGCATCAGGTTCGTTAGCTACGGCAGCAAACCTAAAGAACTTCGTCTCCCCTATAATACATGACGAATTTATAGCGTAAACAAGTAATAACTATGGGCCTGGGGCCGGTTGTATCAAGCCTGTTTAGCTTAAACGGTGAATAAGTCAAAATTAAATAACACTCTTACATCTCTCTTGAATGAGTGAAATTGAATATTATGCACTAAATACGTAGTTGTAAACAGTATCTTTGTATTAAGGGGTAAAAACATTTAGTTCGCTTGTTGAGTAAAACGATAGACTTGCTTTCTATTTTGAACTTAACCACCGTTTAAGCTGAACGGGTTTGATACAACCTGCCCCAGTTGTATAAAACTCGTAGGTTAACTCAAGTAGATATACAGTACTCTGATTGGTCAATTCTGTCACTAACTATGATTAAGAGTTAACTAGGCTACATTTTTATACAACCGGCCCCTGGTCGTCAAATTGCTGCCCGTTCGCTACATTCAGGGACCGCGGAGCGTTTCTCGTATTGCTGGGGCTCTGAACCGCGCACCTGCCAGGAGAGTCCGCGAAAATTTTGAAATATACCTAGGCCTCTGAAATGGCCGCAAATGCCTCGCAATTTTAGGATTATTTTAAAGTTTCCAGCATGTTTGGCACTCATATAAAAACATTAAACAATATAACCATGCTTATGATGTTAAATATTTTGATATGGATAACCACGCAGGTTTAATGGTCTAATTCTGGTGCTATGTAAAGTTTCAAGCATGTTTGGTGCTCATATATTATACAAA